ATAAATGCTGGAGGCAAAGCGGGGTTTGAGGTAGAGGCTGACAGCTCGCGACCCCCAGTAATAACCTCGTGACCCCGAGGGGTCCCGACCCCCAGTTTGAGAACCCCTGAGTTAATTTAATTTTAGCACCCTGTGTCCATTCACATGCATGTGCTATTTTGAGCATTTCAGTTTTCACAACATAGACTCATCCCAGATTCTGGAACAAGCTCAAATGCTCAGTTCATGGAGTATGTCCATAAGCTATACTAAAGACACACCCACTGTAACCGTCTCCAGTTTGTGAGGGACCCCATGGAGCCAGTCTCTAGGAGACAGATAAATTCATGGAAGTTAAGTCCATTAATGGCTATTAGCCAGGATGGGTAAGGAATGGTGTCCCTAGCCTCTGTTTGTCAGACAGTGGAGATGGATGGCAGGAGAGAGATCACTTGATCATTACCTGTTAGGTTCACTCCCTCTGGGGCACTTGGCATTGGCCACTGTCGGTAGACAGGATACTGGGCTGGATGGACCTTTGGTCTGACCCAGTATGGCCGTTCTTTTGTTCTTAGTTCTAATCTAAATGAACCCAAAGTTATGGAGACAGATATGAGTCAAGGAAGCCAGCAGAGTATCAGAAACCTGGAAAGTATCAGGGGGTAGCCGTGTTAGTCTGTATCTACAAAAACAACAAGGAGTCTGGTGGCACCTTAAAGACTAACAGATTTATTTGGTGCATCTGAAGAAGTGAGGGTTTTACCCACGAACGCTTATGCCCAAATAAATCTGTTAGTCTTTAAGGTGCCACCAGACTCCTTGTTGTTTTTGTAGAAACCTGGAAAAATCTCTGACTGGATGGGCTCAGGCATTTGGTCACAAGCTGAGGTAGTTCAAAAGTTTTGGATTTTTTTTAAGCAGAATTTTTTTTATTGTTTCTTTAAACAATCAAACACAGCAAGCAGCAAATATTTGGCCACATACTTCTGAAACCCCAAACCATGTTCAGGTTTTGGCAGACTAATTTCAGCTTTTCAATTAAAAAAAACACAACAAATTTTGAAGGAAAGCAGACATTGTCCGTGATTTTTTCTGCTTTCTAAAAACCCCTAGTTTCTGATCCAAAAAAAAGTTTTGACGGAAAATATTTGTCCAATCCTTTCAATGAGCTTTCGAGCCTTTTAGCACTAGCTGATGCTGAGAACCAGTGATACCTTGTAAAGGTGACTTGAAAAGAAGTTCTCAAAACTGGGTTTGTGCCGAGATGTGGACGTTTTTTAAATGTTTATTTTTCCCAGGGCCGCCCAGGGGGGGTGGGGGGGCATAGGGGGGAAGTGGGGCAATTTGCCCTGGGCCCCGCAGTGGCCTCCACAAGAATATAGTATTCTATAGTATTGCAACTTTTTTTTATGGAAGGGGCCCCCAAAATTGCTTTGCCCCAGGCCCCCTGAATCCTCTGGGCGGCCCTGCCCCAGTGTTTCCCACCTGCCAGAGATCCAGCAGCGTGCAGGAGGCACTGGGGGGAGGTGAAGGAATGGGGGCAGAACAGGGCGGGAAGAGGCAGGGTGGGGACAGAGTGAGGGCAAGGGAGGGGGCAGAATGGGGGTGGGAAGAGGCGGGATGGGGGCTTAGGGAAAGGGGTGGAGTGGGGGTGGGGCCTAGGTCAGAGCAGGGATTGAGCACTGCGCCCCCCCCCCGAGAACTCAGGAAGTCAGTGCCTGTGATCCTGGTAAAGGTAAAACCAAGGGGGCATAAGATGAATTAAGACTGCAGGGATCCACTGAAAAACATAATAACCTAGCAGTATTGTATATCGAACCTCAAATGCTCCACGAGTGACACTGACTTCTGAAAATCTTGGTCTTATTTTAACTACATATCAAAAAAAAAGTTTTGAGAAAGTTCTGATCAGCTGCCTGGCACTTAATGTTAGCATTACAACCAAGTGATGAGTTATAAATAGTACAGAAAGAGGCACATGGAAATCCTCATAAACACACAATATTGTTTAGTTTAATTGACAACACAACTACGTATTAACTGATACTGTTTCTTCAGTCTCCAGGGAAGAGGTTGTGGTGACTCAGACTCCAGAATCCTTCTCTGTGTACACAAGAGAGACAGTCACTATCAACTGCAAAGTCAGTTTCAGTGCTAGAAGCTCCATGGCCTGCTATCCACTGAAATCAGAACAAGTTCCTAAGCTCCTTCTGGGAGCCCAGGCTGGTTCAGCGGCAATGCATCTGTCACTAATTTTACTTTTTACAATGAGCGGGGTTCAAGCTGATGATTTTGGAGATTATCATTGTGAACAAGACTGGAACCAAATCCTCAGTGATACAGACCAGTGCAAAACCTCCCTGCTCAGAGCCATTTTTGTTCCTCAGTGTAACAACTGCTTCCTGCATAAGGCAACAGTACCAACGTAACTAATCAATTCCCTGCCACCTCAGGCATTGGTGGCACCTTGGTCTCTCCTGTTTTCTGCCTGCAACACACAACAGTGTGGTCTCATGAGGACATAAATGTTTGCTTGGGTTTAGCTGAAATTGCTGGACTCAACATAGGGGTATCTGGATGAAATCTGATGGCCTGTGATACAGTAGTCTCTTCTGACAAACTCTATGCAACTGCTGTCCTCTCAGAAAGCAACTATGAGTTTGCCAGGCATGAGCTTTCTCAGCATTTTCATTGACATGTTACTGAAATGAGCTTAAACAAGAGTATGGCAAGCAGCAGGCCATACAACAGTACAATCACTGCCATGCCGCTGGTTCCAGCTCCACAGAACATGCTGCCCGTCTGCAGGGTCCTGCCCAGACGGGAGAGAAATGTGAATTCCCTACAGTCTGCACACCCCATACCCCGCCACTGCGCGCATGCGCGCGCGCGCACACACACACACACGGCCGTGCAGTGAGTCATACTCCCAGTTCTCTTCCCTCATGAAGGTAGAACTTATGAGAGACAAACTCCCTCTGGAGGGACTGAATCTACAACCGACTTTATACCCCAGCAGCACAAGGTGCTCTAGTGGACCAAATTACACCTTCCACTTACCAGTACAACTCAAGGGACTCCACAGCCCAAGTAGCCCCTGGCTCTAGATAGAAAGGCTGCGTGGCCAGGGTGTTGCTGATCCCGAATCTCCCAGACACAGCTTATACCTGATCAATTCTGGGTGACTCCTGACGAAGGGTCGTGGCACAAACAAAACCTGCGCTTCCTAAGGTGGATTCCTCTAGGACACCAAGGGTTATGTCAACACTGTAGATGGGAATGTGCCTCTAGCCAGGATGGACAGACTGGCAGTAGCACTGCTTGGGCTAGTGCTCTGAAAGTAGCAGTGTGGACATTATGGCTTGGGTTAGACACCAGAGCTCAGAGTCAGGGGAGGAGGTTGAAATCGCATTGGCTTGACCTATTGTCTGACGTGCCTCTCCCCCGCCCCCAATTTCCCACAACTGAAAATGTAAATGGATAAAAACAGAAAAAATACTTTTATCTATATTATCCATCAAAATTATAAAAAAATAAAAACTGAATTGCCAAGACTAGTTATAAGCAATTAGAAAGGGAATCACACCTGCCTAAATTCTAACACTAGCATCACCGCCAGACGACGAGATATAACACTTATGGGAAGATGCACATGGCAATAGTTGTACAGGCAAAACATTACTTAGTTTGATCAATCAGATTTGTGCTAACTTAAATGTTGTTTGTAAATTCAGATTTAAATGGGCAGATTGTGCTGACAGACTCCATAATCTCCTGGCAGCGTCTCCGGGAGACACACTCACTATCCTCTGCAAAACCAGGTCAAGCCTTAGAAATACTTTTGCCATCTATGATTTAGTCTGGTACCAATAGAAATTTAGACAAGTTCCTAGGTTCTTTATCTCTAGTGCTTCCCCCACCCTCCCACGCCTCTGGGGGTCCAGTCCAGTTCGTTTGCAAGTGTCTCAGTTCACTCTCACAAACAGCTTTACATTAGTGCAAACTAGGAACCTTTTTGTTTATGTCCACAGCCCCTATGGAGGGGAGTTACAGCCCAGCACTTCGGTGCACTCTGCTATTCACACCCTCATCGTTCAAACTGTGGGACAATGTAGACATAGCCAGAGACTGTCTGAGTGTTCAGGTTTGCAGAGTATTTTATTAGCAATGCTACAGTGGGGGGAATGGACTTCGGGTCTTGTCTACTGGCAGGGGCAGGAAGGTAGAAGAGACAGGTTTAATCCTTGGGTGGGAAGGAACAACTCTTGGCGGTTTTCACTGACCCACTGTGGTGGGCACAGGGAATGAGGCTTTGTAAAATTCTCAAAACTGTCTCTCTGTTATTTGGTTCTGTTTTTTTTGGTTTTCTCCACCTGTTTTCTTATACTTGGAATCTTAGGTTGTAGCATCTTTGGAGCAGGGATTGATTGTTCATAATGGTTATGGCACTTGGCACCATGGGGCCCTGATCGCAGATCAGCACCTGTTAACTCTACACATTACAAATAAATCATAACAAGGAGCTGTGTCCAGCCCTCCTCTATTAGAGACAATGCTGCAGCACCAATGTGGACATCTAGGTGTAGATGAGGACGTGCAGGGATGGCACAGATTAAGTTAATCAGGGTTTACCCCTGACTGAAGCCTTCCACAACACAGTTTTTCTGTCAAAGAGAGATCACAGTTTGAATCGTTATTACGAGATCACTTGTATAACCATGTTCTTAACCAGCATCTCAGTAACAATAATATGGAGAGACCATTTCTTCCCTTACAAATACCATTTTACAGAGAGACTCTTGTCCCCAGGAGAATCTGGTTGAATTTGCTTATTTCACCCATGGCCCCTTCACTTCCCTTTTTGTGAATGTTTATGGATCTGGTGTGAATTTTTATTCCTGAGTCCAATTTGCATATTTCACACCCATGTGACCTCCCCCTGCTGCGCTGAGTGATTATAAATGTTCCAAGTCACCTTATTACAGTTATTGATCAGCACTGAGCCCCTCAGGCGTATCAAGATGATCTCGCAGGCTCAGCTCATCTGGCTGTTAGTGCTCTGCATCCAGGGTAAGGATCAAACCCAGAAGGAATCTGATTAATTAAAAGTACAAAGATCCTCTGAAAATTTTAAAAGACCTAGAAATGTTGTATATTGACCCATTAATTGTAATGTATAATCAAAATGCATTTAGTTTATCAGCTTTTTGTGGCTGGGACTGTCACTTATTATTTGTTTGTGCAATGCCTAGAAACAATAGGGCACAAACCAGCGGAGGCCTTTAGGGATTATTTTTTAATATTTGTGTTTTGGTAAACAGTCAGAATTGCACTAATTTATCGAAACCTTTATCTCATTATAATTAAGAAAATGAAGAGGTTTGAGAAAATTATGAACAATGGGAAAAGGGGTTGGCATGAAAGATCCTTCCTGAGCTTAACATTAGTATCTCTGCCAGGTAACTACGTATAGAAATTCTGTCAAGATACACAGGGGACTATTTCAGAAGTATAACACTGTTGAGTTTGATTGACTAGATCTGTATTTCTATTAACTTATATTCTCTTTGTAAATTCAGACTCCAGCGGAGACATTGTGATGACACAGACTCCAGAATCCCTGGCAGTATCGCCAGGAAACAGAGTTACTATCAACTGCAAAGCCAGTGAAAGCATTACAGGCTCTTCAGGCACTAGTTACTTAGCCTGGTACCAACAGAAACACAGACAAGCTCCTCATTTATCACGCTTCTACCCATGCCTATGGGACCCCACTCTCACAATCAGCAGCATGCAAGCTGATGATGCTGGAGATTATTATGGTCAGCAAGGCAAGAGCTGGCCTCTCTCACAGCGATATAGACCAATACAAAAACCTCCCTGTGCTTTTCCATTCAGCACAGCACCTGCTTTGTTAACAAAGCCACCTTCTCAATGCAACTTCTACCTCTATCTGGGGGCAAACTTCCCGCCCCCAAGACACTTCTCCCTTGCACTCCTTAAGCTGCAAATAAATATAAATAAGCAAATGAGTTTGCTGCTGCAGAATTTTCCTTCCATACAGAAAAGTTTTTACCTTCTCCTCCAGTACAGAGGTATATGTTCTGCATTTAAATTACTTTATTTCCCTCCTAACTGCTGCCAGCGCAATTGTCAGGTCCCTGAGAACGGCACAAAGGGATCAGAAAACAACATAACTAAAATTTTAAGCTGAATCACTGAGGAGAGACCTGCAGGGAAAGCTCAGAGACATGATGAAAGGATCCAATCCGCTATCTACTGGGCCCGTGAGTAAAATCCAATGGGAACGGGCTAAATGCATGAAGGGCCAGACCTTCCCTAACGCTGACTTTCAGCAACCAAATACAGTAAAACACCACAGCATCCTACAGAAGTGGGCCCAAACACTGTAGGGCCCAAACTTGCCCCAGATTACCAGAGTGCCACTCCTATTCTCATCCCTGGGATTTACACCCATGGAACTGAATTGGAATTTACTGCCTGTATCAGTGTCACAGCAATCAGCAGGACTATTAAGGTACTAGACCACATCACTGTTTTGTACAGGTGTGTTCTTATCTTCCCCTGATGAGTCCCCCAGCTCTAGTACTTGGCAAAAAATCTGTCTTCATTTCCCTGGTCTGCTCTTTCAGTAGATTATTTAACAATTTGGGGACAATACAAATTGTTATTCTTCAACATATTTCTTCCTTAATTTTTAATTAAAATTAAAATTAACCTAGCACACATTAAATTGATTAAAAACTGCCTAAAAATTGATAGGTCTCAAAATATAACTGTAAATGGAGAATCATCATCAATTGTTTCCAGTCGGGTCCCGCAGGGATTGGTTCTTGGCCCTACGCAATTTAATATCTTTATCAATGACCTGGAAAAAAACATAAAATCATCACTGTTAAAGTTTGCTTATATACAAACATCAGGGCAGTGGTAAATAAAAAAAGGAACAGGTCACTGATACAGAGTGATCAGGATCACCTGGTAAATTGGGCAGCTGAACATGGGCTCCCAGGGTGATGCTGTGTCCAAAAGAGCTAATGCAAACCTGGGATGCATAAAGAGGGGAATCTCGAGTAGGAGCAAAGAGGTTATTTTACCTCTGTATTTAGCACCGGTGTGACCGCTGCTGGAACACTGTGTGAAGGTCTGGTGCCCACAATTCAAGAGGGATGTTGATAAATTGGAGAGGATTTCGAGAAGAGTTATGAGAATGATTAAAGGATTAGGAAACACACCAGATACCAATTGAGGTTCTTGACTCTCCCTATATAGCTTAACAAGGAGATGATTAAAGGGTCACTTGATTCCAGTCTGTAAGTATGTACATGGAGACAAAATATTTGATAATGGGCTCTTCAATCTAGCAGAGAAAGGTAGAACACGATCCAATAGCTGGAAGTTGAAGCTAGACAAATTCAGATGGGAAATAAGGCATACATTTTTAACACTGAATGTAACTAACCTTTGGAACAATTTACCAAGGGTCGTGATGGATTCTCCATCACTGATTATTTATTAATCAAGAGTGAATGTTTTTCTAAAAGTTCTACTCTAGGAATTATTTTGAGGCAGTTCTATGGTCTGTGTTATACAGGAGATCAGACTGGATTATCACAATGGTCCCTTCCAGCCTTGGAATCTATGAATCTTTCTAGAGAAATATACCAGACTGTAACTGAGATCAGAATCAGGCACGTTGACTTTAATGGGAGTTACTTGTATCTGGCCATGCTAGAATCTGTCCCTATGTGTCTAAGGGCTGAGCTTCTGATACAAAGAATGAAACGGGAGGCTTAGCATACTCAGAACTACCTGATCTTTCTCTCCTTCTCTGAGCGGTTATAAAATGTTGCATTTCACTCTCTATCGTTTAATGATCAGCCCTGGACAGCTCAAATGCATCAAAATGATCTCCCAGGCTCAGTTCATCTGGCTGTTAGTGCCATGGATCCAGCATAAAAATTAAACCAAGAGGGAACAGGACAAATTAAAAGTATAATTGGTCTTTAAAGGGAAATGAAAAGAGAGTCAGAACTCTAGTCTATCAAGTCCTGAATATTCCTCAGAGTTGCACCAATTTCTGATTGCCTCTGTCTCATTTCAAATTGCAAAGAGAGAAAGAACATTTTCAGATGTAAAGGCCTGATCCAAAACCCGGAGAAGTCAGTGGGGCCCAGATCCACCAAGGGACTATTGTGTCACTCCCACTTTTTCTCTGGCTCAATTAATATTTAATTATTCCATTAAAGTGGAACAAGTTCAACAAGTAAGAGAGACCCACATTAAAACATCCCATGCAGCAGATCTCTGTTCAAATCCTCTCTCTTTGTCAGGCAGACAGTGGGCTTGAATAGGGATGAGGAACCACAACCCAAGTGAGTGCCCTAACACTGACAAGCTTCAAAGCTTTTTATCCACAGGGCTTCCACCCGTCCCTCTGGGATCCAAGCCCAGTTCAGTGGCAGTGGGTCTGGCGCTGATTTCACTCTCACAATCAGTCGTATTGAAGCTGATGATTCTGGAAATTATTACTGTCGGCACCATCTCAGAAGTAATACAGAGCAGTACAAAAACCTTCCTGCTTTCTCCAGTTTCTGATCCCCACTATAACTTATCCTTCCTATACAGTGTGACAGAACCAATGCACCTGCTGTCCTTTCACAAGGAAATCGGGTCTGTCAGACTTTGGGCTTTTCACCCAATGGTCCTGTTGTTCTCTCCAATCATTTTAGAGCTGTCACCATCACTAGAATCGATGGGGACAGACACTACTTTACCCTTAGGGACAGATCCTCAGCTAGTGTAAATCAGTCTATCTTCAATGAAATCAAATGAAGTAGGCTACTTTACACCAGTGGAGGATCAATCCCTTAACCTCCCTCCTTTACTGTCACTGAAAATGTCTGGTGATAACAGGAACCTGGACAAGTGCCTACTCTCTTTAGTTCTTATTCTGCCTCCTGTCCCTTGGGAATCCCAGACCAGTTCAGTTTTAGTGAGTCTGACCCTGATGGCACTCCCCAATCAGTAGACTCAAACAGATGACACTGGAGTTCATTACTGTCAGCATTACCATGGTCCCCAGCGCTTTCTGCAGCCTCTTTCTTTCATTACTTAAAAACTTCTCAACACACAAACTGCAAATCTCAATTCTCTTTTTCTGTTGAATGGAAAATATTCATTGGGCCCAGCCTCCCAATGTCTCTGTTAAGTGTACACTGTGAGAAGAGTTAGATTAAAAGCAAAAAAACCTGGATACCCAACAAACATGCAGATTGTCTGTACGGGCCATTTCATTTTTTAGTTTTTTCTTAAAAGGCACCCTCTGCTTCTTGTACCCCAATCAGCAACAAATTCTGTAACTTCCCAGCCCAGAACTTTGAGGAAGCTTCTCGGTTTCCGTAAGTAGAACAGGTCGTGTGTAGTCAGTATGGGAGCTAGAGAACTAGGCTATGCTCAGCAACCTCAGTAAAGCTTCCCCTTTACATCCACAATAACAGAGTGCCTGTCTCTTCTCTGCTCTGCTACATGACAACACTATTCTCTTGCCAGCCTGCTCCCTTCACTTGAAACGATGGAAGAAAAATTAGAGAGAGAAGTAAAGCATGTTCGGTAATGAACATTTTTGCTCTTAGCTCTTTAAAAATAAAAACCTAAAACAAGGGCCAGATCCATCTCTGAGTTAAGCTGACATAAATTTGAAGTAAATCTATTGACTTTGGCTCCTAAGGACAGCATGAAACTCTACATTGACAGTCCATCAAATACGCCACAGACAGGATCCTATCATTTAGATTTTCCTCCCTCTTAACCTGTAACCATGTCTCCCTGTCAGCATTACCAAGGTCTCCAGTGCTTTCTGCAGCCTCTTTTTGTCATTCCTTAAAAACTTCTCATCTCACAAACTGCAAACCTCAATTCTCTGTTTCTGTTGAATGGAAAATATTCCACATTAGTCTAATGTTATCCTCAGCCCAGCCTCCCAACGTCTCTGTTAACTGTAAACTGTGAGAAGAGTTAGATTAATAGGAAAAAACCCTAGATACCCAACAAACACTCAGATTCTCTCTATGGGCTATTTAGTTTTTCTTTTCTTTCTTTTTTGTTTTTTTTAAAGGCACACATTGCTTCTTATAGGTCAATCAGAAACACATTCATAACATCCCAGCCCAGAACTTTGAGAAAGACTTTGGGTTTCCGTAAGAAGAACAGGTCGTGTGTAGTCAGTATGGGAGCTAGAGAACTAGGCTATACCCAGAAACCTCAGTAAAGCTTCCCCTGTACATCCACAATAACAGAGTGCCTGTCTCTTCTCTACTCTGTCACATGACAACACTATTCTCTTGCCAGCCTGCTCCCTTCACTTGACACGATGGAGGAAAAATTAGAGAAAGAAGTAAAGTGTGTTCGGTAAAGAACATTTTTGCTGGTAGCCAATTTAAATTAAAAAAAAAAACTAACGAACAAGGCCCAGATCCATCTCTGAGTTAAGCTGATCTAAATTGGAAGTAAATCCATTGAATTTGGGTCCTAAGGACAGCATGAATTGAAACTCTAACTTCACAGTCCATCAAATACTCCACACAAAACCATCCCATCATTTAGCATTTCCTCCCTATTAACCTGTAAACACGTGTAAAAGGGAAGAAACATGCAGTAGCTAGCAGACATCATGGCTGATGAGTTAGAGTGTCCCAGCACCTCTGGGACCCCGTAGGTCTGTGTAGCAAAGCTCCATAGAACTGGCATGTGACATGAAGTAACATAAGTAGCGCTTATCGACCGCTTTTTGTGCACAGATCTCAAAGTTCTGTACAGTACAGAGTCACTATTGTTACTGATGGGGAAGCTGAGGCAGAGACAGGTGAAGGCACTTAGGCAAGAGCTCATTGTCCGTCCAGTTTGAATACCAGCAGAAAAGCCTTCAGTGAGATAATGCAGCTTGATGCAACATTAACTCTTCCACAGCTCCCCCCTGTTGTGGGGAAATGGACAGGGAAGTCAGGGCCACAGAGGACGGTGGCCAGGGGAAGCCTGGGCAGCCCAGTGGGTCAGAGCTGAGGGACAAGACCCCTGTGAAGACCCCTCTGTGAATCTGCTGAAGGCCCAAGCTACCGATGGGGCCATGAAACACATATTGGAAACGGACACTGGAGATCCATAATCACAGTTGAAGTCCATTTGAGGGTTGTCTCCTTGATGAGAGATAACCAGACATGAAAGCCACTTCCCACAGACAAACTCTTCCATCGTTTGGAGCCGTTCATATCTGGGATTCTGGTTCAGGCCCAACTGTAATCTAAACGCTGCAAATATAGGGCAAAGTTCTATCACTCTTAGGCCTGAGCTACACTTAACACTTCTCACAGTACAGCTGTGCCAGTCTGGGTGTGATTTTTCATCAACATAGCTACATTACTATAAAACCCAGTGTGAATGCAATTATGCAGGCATGAAAGTGCTTTGGCTCGGATAGATTATGTCTCTCGGGGAACTGGTGTAAACTGTACTGGCAGAAGCACTTTTATGCTGGGAGAAACTGCATCCACACTAGCAGGATTTACCAATATAGTTCGACAGGTATAGCTCTGCCAGCAAAACATTTTTAATGTGGACAAGACTTAACTCACTGTAAAGATGAGACAATGTTAATAAGAAATTAGATTATATGAGATGTTGTTATAGGACAAGAGATATTAAACTGAGTTGTATGATGCAGTACATTGTGGGATGAAGACCAGAATGAATATATACTGCTAGGTGCCTTGGACTCCTTGGACAGAAGCTCCATCCAGACAGCCCACTTCGATCTTTGTGGGGTGGTTGAATTCAAAGGGTCACTAGTTGGCTCCTTAGGAGAGAGAGTGCTGAATCACAGAAAGGGTTGAAAAGCTAGACTGCGATCAGGAAGGGAAGCACTGCTGGGCTCTTATAAGATCACACTTTCCCTCTGGCAGTAGGCTGCAGAGGGGTTACTGACAGCTACTCTTATGTTACTATAGTGCTTATTCTGGTTAAATATAAGCTTAGTAGCTTTGCAAACCAAAAAGTGGAATGCCCTGAAGGGATCTGCAGGGCCCTTGAAACACAGTTAGAGCTTTTAACCAGGATCGCCTGACATTCACAGGCAAGTGTCCTGAGAGGAAGATCAGAGGGGTAAAACGGCTGCACTGGTGACCCAGTGACACCCGTGTTGAACAAGGTATGTGTCCTGGAAGGAGCAGATCATGACACACTTACTGAGTAGTACCTCACCCCACAAGCAGTCCCACTGATAGCAATAGAAGGGATAGCAAAGTCAGTTTTTACCCTGTAACCATTGGACATCCTCACCACCAGGGATAAAAGGACTGCAGGCTGGGGCTAGTAGTAAATCATCACACTTCTCCTGCCCTTCCCTGGGCCCTTCCCCAGATAGCCCCCACACACTGACATACCTAGATTCCCTGCAGAGATGATAGTGTTTCAGTATATGGCTTAATAGAAACATAGAACAAACAATGACAGTATTTGCTAAGCTCAGAGCATTGACCAGATAAACCCTCCCAACAGCACTGTCACCCCATTTTACAGAAGGAGCCACTCAGACCAAAGGGTGCAGGAATGAGCCTAGAAGAGTTCAATACCAAAAGCTTACTGGTCTATTTCCCGTCTCATCCAATAACTCACTATGCACCCTTGGATGCAACATTTCTCTCTGCCTCAGTTTACTCATCTTCTCAAACAAAGATCTCCCCTATTTACAACCTATGCTCCTCAGGGATGTCAACACTTAATTACTAATCAGTTATTGGACAGAATTGTTTAGCATTTATCTCCTTTTCCACAAAGATGCATCTGAATTTACCTTTTAAAGGGAGGAGAAAATAGCTCATTGGGTCAAAATAATTTTTTACTACAATTACTGATTTCATCAAATAAATTAAATACCGGACTGAAGCAAAGGAGAGACTTGGAGATGGATGAGAATTTTCTGACAAAATGGTTTTTCATTTGAAAACATGAATTCAGCAGAACTGAACTTTTCACAGTGTGGGTGAGGATGAGCAGGGATGGCACTGACTGGGCTAATCAGGATTTTCCTCTGCTAACTGAGGATTCTCCCTGCTGGGAGACTCTCACCCCCCAGTACTGTTTCTCTCTCAAAGGTGGATCACACCACTTTGTATCACCAGTTGTGAGGAGCAGGGCCGGATCTAGGTTTTTTGCCACCCCAAGCAAAAAAAATTTTTGGCTGTCCCCCATCACACACCCCTGCCGTCCCAGCCCTGCCCTCTCCCCCCCCAGACCCGCACCCCCCTGCCGCCCCAGCTCTGGGCTTCCTCCTACCCCCCCCACACACACACCTCCTGCCACCCCAGCCCTGGGCTGCCCCCCCCACCTGCACCCTCCTTCCACTGCAGCCCTGGGTCAC